GAGAGAGAGAGAGAGGAGGCTACTCACATCTCGCGGCTGGGATCACCCCAATCGTACCACCCCCTTCGTGCTATGATGTTGTCCATGAAAGTATAGGCAAAAACCACCCTAGAGAAGGTGCCCCATGCCCTTCCCAAGTAGAAAGCTCCCGAACCAGTAACCCTACAACCCACAAAGGAGAACCCTGTTTCTTGTAACATATTCTCTCTCTTCTGAGCAGTTAGGGCACCATACCCCACACGATCTATGGCATGGACATGACATCCCTTATATAGAGAGAGACCATTTCCAAAAATAAAATCTACTGAGCCTTCTATGTAGCACCCCTCAAAATAGTGTCTTCCAATGTGGTCATAGAGTGTGTCTTGTGCCCCTTTAAACTTGCAATTGAAGAAGGCAGCTGTGTCTGCTGAAACTCTAAGTGCCACTGCTTGCTTTCCCTTTGCTGATTTTGTCACTGGTGCTGTGTTCTACAAGCACAAAATGATCTCTTGTTTATTCTCTCTTAGTGCATCAACCGGTCCAAATGAAAAAGAAAATAGACATGGTATACCTTTTGATACAAGGAGGTCATAATCATTTTTAATCAATGAACGTGAAATGTGACGTATTGAAGCATGTCATTATATTCGGGAAATTTTGTTTTGGATTTTGTGATACATCCCCAACCACTCTATTTCACATCCAATGGTCATTAACGGTTGTAATCTTCTTGTACCGATGATAAATGGCCTTGCTATATAAATTTCCAAAAAAAATAAAACAAGCAATCATCATCATGAAAGCCTTTTTTTTCAATTATTTGGGATTGGCTAGGAAAATAAAACAAACAGTATTTCAAAAAATTGGAATCAGGCTACTATTCATCAAGATGCAAATTCAATTCGCCCGAACTGACTCGGGGTGATTTCTGAGTCAGACTAAGGTATATTAACATAAAGATAATAGTAAAAATTCGAGAAAACTGAGAGACTCGGGAAATTTTGGGCTTCATCAACCCAAAACCGGCAGCCTCCTGATCGAATCCAATTCGGGCAATTCTTGAGTCGAACAGGCAAGTTTTGAAAGAACAAGTACAAGAAATTGTCTGGTGTTCTATAGCCACCTATACTACTAAGGGAGAAAAATACTATTTGAGATTTGAATTCTCTGTAGAAGACGTTTTTCTCCCTATTTTTTTAAAAACCGCTCTTAGATAGGGAGTAGATAGAATATTTATGTTGGCCCAATATGTTTCACCTCTCGGACTTCGAAGATAAGAGAGAAGACCTCTATATTTAATTTAAACTATGATTCCTATCAAAAGGACATGACTCAAATAAATTGGAACCTATGACAGAAATAATTGGGAAAATAGATGAAGTTTTAGAAATAAAATAAAAAAGGAAAAACTAGAGATGATATAAAAAGGTTTAGCAATAAAAATTGGGACCGTATGTAATGAGGCAATTTATCTTTCGTATAAGGAGGTCACAATTACTTATAATCATCCGGTGTGAAATCTAGTAGCTTGGGTGTCTCCCAAAGTTTGAGAAAATTTCTGTTGAACTGTGAACTTGGTCTATGGAATAAATGCAACCACCTAGTTTCATATCTAATGATCAGGATTAAGCGTGACCACTTTGTATCATTGTATACTTTTCTATAAAGATGAATAAGTTAACAATTAAATAAAGACTAAAAATTACTATGGATTGAAGGGAAGCATATAACGATATGATTTTCCTTTTTGTATTAGGAAATCACAATCAATCTTATCCTGTATATTTCAAATCGGGCGTTTGTAATAATGTCATTGAAGAGACTTAGAGTTCAAAAAAAATAAAATTATCATACTTCATAACAAGCCTAAACCATCCAATTGGACATCTAATGAGTAAGAGTGATTATAAACTCCTTGTAATAAAAATAAATGACCATGTTGTATACCATCTATTGATTGAAACTAAATATATATTAATACAAATGGACTTGTTCACCTGATGCAACACTAAATCAAACAAAAAATTGAAGACTTTAAGAGGAACAGGTACCTTAAAGGTAATGTTCTTAGCAATGAAGTACGGAGAATTAACAGCCATAGTGGCAGAGGCAAAGGTGCCCATGGGTTGCCCATTGGCCCCAATCTTATCAGCTGTATCATCCCACTCAATCACTGTCTTTTCAGCTCCAGCTCCCTCTAGACTTATATATGCCTTTGTTGCAGCGATATTCACCTTCTCTCTATGCATACATGTAGTGCACCAGCATTATATATCAATATGGAGCATAATGAAAGGCTTACACTGTGCAAAAAAAATGCACACCATACCGGTGGCCGGCCCGGCCCTAAAGAAGTAGGGCCTAGGCTACAACTTGCGGATCGAGGGCCGGGCTCGCTGGGGCAAGTTACTTCTGACTCGGGCAAGTACTGTAGAGGACCAAAATGCCCTAAATAAATTAAAAAAAAAAACTTTTTTGAAAAAATAAAAATTAGAAAAAAAATATAGTAAAACCAAAAACAACTTTTACAAGTTAAATAAGTTTAAAAAAGAAGAAAAAAATGGGTTTAAAAAAAATAATTTACATTTTAAAATATCCAAAAAAAATAAAAATAGGCATCATGACAAAAAACACTCATCAATCTTTGCCAAAAACATCCAAAACAAAAAATTACTTAACATTTCTAGATCCTTTATAATTTTTTAAATAGTTTGAATTCATATTTCAAAGCAATCCCTTTTTTTTTATACACCCCGAGTTATTAACACAACTGGGGGTTACTCGGCCTCGCACTATTACTCGCTGGAGGCCGATTGAACTCGGGCTAGTTCTGTCGCACTGTCCCAAATACAATTTCCACACCCTACTCTCTCTCTCTCTCTCTCTCTCTCTCTCTCTCTCTCCTTTAGAGACTAAGTCCTTACCTGTACACTCCTTCATGGATGCAGATCACGACCCTGACCCCATTACCATCAGGAAGAGAATCAATGGCTTCCTGAACTGAAACAAAGTCACCCGACCCTGGTTCCTTATCAACAGTAATATACATTGAAGGCTTTGGCTTGTTCTTCATTGCTGTACTGAAAATAGAATGAGTAAGAGAGCCCATGTTCCTAACCCACTTGAGATATGCTTCTTCCACACCCAAACCATTTCTACTTTCACCATGACACATAAAGCTACATGGACAAGAGAGAAAAACCAGGCTAAGGAGAAGCAAAAGCAGGGATATTTGGTTCATGATTTGGCTGGAATTTTGTTTTTTCCGGCGAGTTGGGTGGTGACTTTTGGTGATGAGGAACGGGTGGTTGTCGATGAAGAGAGAAGGGCAGTTGGGAATGCAGGATAAAAAGCTTCTTCACTCCATGGATTTTCATTAAAAAACAAATGTAGAAGAGACTTGCAGAGGAATCTTGCAGTGTTATGGCTGTATCTATGTGTTCCTCTTCCATTGTATTGATATGTCTTTTCTTTTTTTCTTATGTATATAGTTATTTTGGAATTTTTCAAGAAAAGAAGCCTGATATAAAAGGAAAAATAGAATTTGTATGTGTTGTATTCCATTCTCTCCAAGTTACCAAGTCTAGCTTTGATTATTTGCTTCTTTTTTTTAACAATAAATTCTGTTTCAATACTGTAAGACAAAGGAGACAGCAAAAAAATATATAAAAATAAATATAGAAAATGCTAAAAGTGAATGAGCAAATGTGATAAGTTTGTCTTGTTGCTTGAGAAATCACAGGACTGGCCCACTGAATGTATGTCTATCACCGAGATAGGCGTGGGCAGAAGAGGACAAGAATGGCAAATCATCACCATCCATGATGATGATGGATGGATAGGATGGATGGTGTGGGACTGGCATATTCGTAATTATGATGAGTGTTATGTGATGCATAACTAATCCGAGGCATGGGAATGGGGTTGAGGTGGTGGTAGTGCGACCTCAGCCTCACTTACTTTGGATTGATGTTGGTTGTGCCATTTGGGCCTAAGTTATTTTAGATTTTCATTCCTATTAATGTATTCGAAAATCCTTAACTATTTTTAAAACGGATAGGAGCCTGTATTTCTTATTGATCTACCTAAAATATATATATATATATATATATATAATTAATATTAATAATAATAATATTAAGGATCCATGTGGAGCAAAGCCTTGATGTGTTTGATAAGCTCGGGTGTGTTGCAAAGTTTAAATAAATTTCCTATTTTTAGGAATTCGGCCGAATGGCACAACTTAGCTGCTTCCAACTCTATGCGTTTTGACTTCTTAAATGAAAGATAAATTGTGTTATTGTATAATGGCATTGTTAATCGGACATCATTTGATTTCCTCACCAAATTGCAATTTGAGCCCATTTCATATGAAAGATAAATTATTTTATTGTGTAATCGCATTGTTAATAAGACATCATTTGATTTTCCGGCCAAATTGTAATTTGAGCCCATTTCAAAAAATTGCACTGTAATTTGGCATATTTGATTCACAAATTTGAATTGAATCCTAAACACCTTCCAAATTGAACTTTTAAAAAACTGCACTAGATTGTTTTGGTAAAAAATTGATTTGGCTCCCTCTTGTTATGTGTGTATTTCTACGATCAATACTACCACCATCACATTACCACTACTGCACCTAATTAACATTGTTCAACTATTGTTGTGGTTCCGCTGGTGCCATGATCACCAATATCACCGCCACCGCCACCGCCACCGCCACTGCCACCACAACTACCACTATCATTGAACCACTACTACTCTAGCTGCCACCACCACCTACTAGTCACTACCATCACCACAACTTCATTGCGACCACCACTACTACCCTGCAGTGAGAAGACCTTCAAAATGTTTAAAATGGAGTTTTTATTAACAAGAAAAGGTGGAAGATTTTTTTTTTTTTTTTTGTTTTTGGGGGAATAGTCGTTTTTTTATTCCGTTTTTTTTGTGAAGCTGCAAAGGCTTAAAAAGCCCAATTTATTTTTACTTTTAAAAATGCTTCTTTTTAAAAAAAAAACAGAAAGTTGCGTAGAAAATTCAATCTTCTAAACAACATAAAAAAAATTTCTTTTTATTTCTTTTTTTTTTTTAAAGCAAATGGAAAGGAAAATCTAAATACTCTTAGAAGTGTAAAAGAAAAAAAGAACAACAGTGTTTTGTTTATTTCTTTTATTTCATCGATTTATACTTTTTTTTTTGTATAAAGTTATGAAATAAAAGCAATGAAAATGCATGTAATTAGAGTATCGCAGTTATCTCATTCCTTTAGTGATCAAAGAAAGAAAACAGAAACAAGTAAAAAACTAGATTGTAAGAATGAGAAAGATAATGTAGCAATATTTAACCGAAATTTAATTTATATTTTTTTCTTCTTTTTTGCTTTTTTTTTTTTTTGGAAAACAAAACAGTCTTAGAAAAAAAAAACCTTTTCATAATAACAAAATAGATTGTATTTTATTTTTTTCCCCTTTTCTTCTGAAAGGCAAGCTTTCTATGCTTCCCCTACAACATAAAACTTATAAACTTCCCCTTATCCAACCGTTCATTATGAATGAAGAGCTACGATTGCCCCAATCACAATGTCTCGTCTCTAGACTATTTTATTTTTAATTTTTTTCTATAAACTATTTTGACACCAGTTTTGGATGTCCAATCCTCTATTAATCTTGAACTAGTGAAAAATATTAAAAAAATATTTCTAATAAAATAAATGACCAAAATACCCCTAAAACTTTCAAGGGGTATTTTGATCATTATATTTTATCAAAAAATTATTTTTAATATTTTTTATAGGTGCACCCCAATGAGAAGATGGCATGTACCAAATTTCATATTCATAAAATTTGTACAAAAAACTAAAAATAAAAATACTTTGAGACGTTAGATTTATGATCAAACGTTGAGTGGCTCTCTCGATCAAAATTGGAGAGCTGGATGGTAGGAGAAGCATAGCTATTCTATGTTGTAGGGGAAGTATAGAAATCTCTCTTTTTTCAAGAGAAGGGAACTTTAAAAGTTTTTCTTTTTTAAAAAAAAAAACCAAAAAAGGGCTTTTGTTGAAATCAAAATTGTCCTCAAAAGTTTTGTTTTTTTTTTAAGAAAATGAGAATGGCTAAACCGATCTTTTTTTCTTTTTTTCTTTTTTTGAGGCAAAGAGATCTTAAAATGCGACTTTTTAATATCAAGAAAAAGAAGAAAAAAAGGTATTTCTTTTTTTATAAGGGAAATATGAAAATGCGATTTTTATAAAAAAAATGAAATAGAAGCAATTTTTTTTTAAAAGAAAGGTTTCAAAAGGCAATTTTATTAATAGAAAGAAACATATATATTTTTCGAAAACAAAAACAACAACCTATAAAATGATTTTTTATTTAAAAATAATTTATCTTTTTTTTTAAGCAAGATGATTTTGATTTTAGAGAAATGACATTATTCTTTCTTTTTTTTGGGGTAAATCAGTGGGGGGGGGGAAGGGCTCTACCCAATTTTTCATTAATAAAAAAGGGATAACACGTTATTATACAACCCTATAATATGGCAGTTGCGTCAAATCATGTAATAAAAGAAATCATGTAATAAAAGAAGAGAGAAAAAGTCAGGAGGACGACTACATCAATTTGTGGCTCATGTATAAACCGATCATCTTGCTACCTATATAAAACGATCATCTCTTAGAGAGGGCATCATCTAGCCTCACGAAAAACATGAGCAATAGACCACTATCGTCGGTAATCTCCAATGGGCACGACGTTGATTTTAATGGCTCTACTAGTAGAAATGAATCACTCTTTATCTGTATCGGGAAGCAACCTTTTTGAATAGCTAAAAGAATGCCTTCTTCTAGAGTCTCGAATTCTGTAAAATTATTGGATACAAAACCAAAGTGTTTAGTAAACGCCGCTACAAATCCACCATTGCAATTTCTTATGACCCCACCACCATCTGCCAAACCAAGGTTGTGCAAGGCCGCAACGTCAATATTCAGCTTATAACAACAAGCTTCCAAAAGTAACCATGTGACTGGGATCATGCATTTTGGCTTCAGCAGGCACCACTTAATATGTATATTGCCAATAATCGTCTTTTCTGATAGATGAAATGCCCATTCTTTAACTTCTGCAATGGCATTTACATGTGAAGTAATACGAATAACAACCTGCTCTCTTCTTGATGTGTTAGTTCACAAGATTCTTATGTTTCACTCTTCCTACAGAAACCAAATTGTTGTGAAGAAGATAGACATCTAAATGTTAAGAAACCTGTCTGATTTGAATATGAAGACTAGCCAACTACAAAGTGTATCCTAACCCGAAGTTCCAAGCACAAAGCTCTTGCCACACTGTCAAGCTAAAGACCGCCAAGCACCCTACAAAAAAGTGCAATGAAATAGAAGATGACATAGGGTTTCCTCATTGTTTTTGCAAAAAGGACAGATAGTAGCCATATGAGTACTCCGTTGTAGAAATATAGATGTAGTCGGTAGTCGATTGTATACAGCTAACCAGGAGAACCACCTGGCCCGTAAATGACATTTGGCTAACCAAAGAGCACGAAATAGAAGGTGAGGTAAACTTTTGTATTGAATTAAGTTCCACGCTTTTTTTATGGAAAAGGTTCCACTAGCAGAAATGACACTACTCTTTTTAAAAGAAAATAGCCCACAAATTATTTTATTTTATTTTTTTACTGAAAAATGATTAGGTGATGCAAGATGAGAAGAGATCCAAACAAGGCTAGCGAAATTGCGCAAAAAATGTCAGTGAGCATAATCCATATGATTATGAAGCAACATCTTTCTATTGAAATAAACTCATTTTTTACTTCTTTTTTAAAAAAAAAAGAAAAAAAAAAAATGAATAAAGTGGTGAGGCGAGTGCGATTGATGCCCAGGAGTTAACAGTTCACAAAACAGAAAGGCAATGGGCCCAGACAACAATCGCTGGAAGAGAAGAGGCAAGAAGGACCTCCGGGTCCAATACACCCAGCAATGCAAAAGGCCGTCCTCTCTGATCTGAACTCCAAATTAGATATTGAAAATCAGTAGAGATTGCAGGGTGGTCGAATTACAATATGAAGAAAAAAAGTCAATTTTGATAAATAGATTTATTTCTTATATTGCTAACAACGGCAATTGATTTTTTACACAAGAAACACTTCTAAACTAAACTAATACAAACAGATATAAAAATATCTAAAAACCAAAAAGGACAGGGAGAAGGAAACTTACCTACCCAGGCCAGTCGGATTGGGAAACCCGAAACCCGGAATGGGGCCCGTATCAAGTCCGGTTGTCTATGCCATTGTCTTCTCTCTTCATACTAGAAATTGGTTGAAATTTGACTAAGAACGGTTTAATTTTGATATTGGCTTTTCTAAGGTTTAATGGCCTAGATTTCTAGGGTTGAAGGAGTAGGGTTTAGGATTTTCAGACA